CGGGTGGGGAAATTACCCGAAGGGGAGGGCGGGATCCGAGGATGCGTCGCATGTTCCTTAGTGGATCCCGCTTTGGGTCCGGAAAACTCCCCGGTTGGGCGGAGACAGCGATGTGGCAACCGCGGGCTTGGACTTTGTTGGCGGCCGGTTCGAGCCCGCTCTGCGGCCCGAGGGCTCTGTGACCTCGGGCAGGTCGCTTCGCTTCTTGTGCCTCGGTACCCTGATCTGTAAGCCACCGAAGGGCCTCCCCTAGACGGTCAAGGTGAGAGTTTAGAGGAGTTCATGTGTGTTGAGCAGCTTACACAGGTGAGTGCCCCACCAGAGTGTAGCGGCTGACAAAAACAGCTGGACTGTTGGCCGGAGTTCTGTGTGACTGTAGATTTAACCTCTTTCCCCTTCACCCTGCCCCTGCCTCTGTGGTCCCTTACTGGGAAGGCTCAGAGCTCGGCTGTCACCCTAGATTTCCCCTCCCCCTCCACCCAAAACTGGTCACCAGTCCTACTGCCTTTTCCTGTTTATCAGCTCTGATACCTGCCCCTCCCCCTCCTCCACTGCATCCCTAGGTTCACTCCCCACCCCTCAGCCTCTGGCCTTTGAGGATGGTTCCTATGGGTCGCCCCCACCCCCTAATTTGTGCTTTTTTCCATCCATTTCCCCAGGCCTCTAGGTGACTTGTCCAGGGCATACACCTGACTGCTTCCCTCCCCTGCTAACACACCTCGCACCCTGACCCCTGTAACAAACCCAGGCTTCTGTTCCCGGGAACATCTGTCCAGCGATCTGGCCCATCGCTACCCCAGGGTCCTCCCTCCCAGCACTCCCCGAGGGCCTGGCTCCGCTTGTCCTGTTGAGTTCTCTACCTTTAGCCCCAGTACCTGCTACACTTGCTAGGGGTTTTTTAGGTCTCTTAAATGAAATTTCCCCTCACTTTCTATTATTGTTAGATTTTCAGTAGAGAAGGCAAAATAATAATACTCTGTCAATTTACTGAGCTTTTATAAAGCTCACGACTGAATATTTTCACAAAGTCCTTTCACCTACTCCTGTCCAGTGAGGTGGAAAGTATCTGGCCCATTTTGCTGATGAGAAGACTAAAGCCCAGGGGGCCTGTCCGGTTCTTTCCTTTGGGAAGCCAGCGCCAGTCCTTTCTGGTGAATATTTGTTGCTAGGCTCTTCAAGACAGTGCTTTGAACACCAGAACACATATGCTCATGTTAACATTTTATCTATCCTCTCCTGCAAAGGGGAGCCAATAGCCAGTTACAGCCATCTCCCAGATGTTCTAAAACTGCTATGCCCAATACAGGAGCCCTGGCCACGCTGTTTCAGGTCCTCCCAGGCTCCGTGTGCTGGCAGCTGCCGTATTGGACAGCCCAGACCATAGAGCATTGCCAGGGTTGCAGGAAGTCCTATTGGAAACTCCTTGCAAGGAGAGAAGCAGTGAAGGGTTGAGTAGACAAGAGGTTTCTGAGTGTTTATGGAAGGCCCTGTGTGTCCCAGACTCTCTTCTGGGTGCTTGAGATAGAAGAGAAGAGGCAGTCTCTGTTCTTAAGGAACCTGCACTCGTGGGGCGGGAGGAAGACGCTAACGGCATTAACCTGTAGTGCGGCAGTTGTGGTTCAGGCTGTGGAGAGAAATGCGGCGGGCAAAGTGGGCTGAGAGAGAGGGCCTTGGTCCAGACGGGGTGGTCGGGGAGGATGCTTTGAGGAGCTGACAGGTGAGCAGAGCCCTGGATGGAATGATGGAGGGGCTCGGGCGCTGCTGTGAGAAAAGCATTTCAGAGTGAGATGGCAGTGAGGACAAAATGATGTGCTTCGTGGGGTCCAGGACCAGCCAGGAAGCTGGTGTGGTAGGGGCAGAGGGTGGGGTGGGGGGAGGGGAGGGGGACGTGCTGAGGCCAGAGGGTAAGGAGGGGCCAGATCAGGAGGCCCGCTGGGTCATGGTTAAGGCTGGTTGTTATTTTGAATTAGATGGAAGCCAGGGATGGGTTTTGAGCAGAAAAGTGACCGGCTCTGAGTCATCTTTTTAAAGCATCCCTGTGGCAGGTGTGAGGACAGAGGACAGAGGTAGAAGTAAAAACCGAGAGAGGAGGCAGATAGGGGACCAGGCAGCCAGTGGAGATGAAGAGGACCAGGGAGATTCGTGGAGAGGGCTGCCGAGAAGTTGTTGAATTTGGGGTGTATTGTGAAGGCAGAGCCGGGGGAGTGTGCTGGGATTGAATGTGAGTTGAGAGACAGAAAGAGAGGTCAAGGATGAAACCAAGGACTTGGGCTTCAGCAGATGGAAGAACATAGATACCATTAGCTAATACGCGGAAGCCTTGGGGAGGCAGCCAGGAATTCTTATTTGGTCCTGTTGAGTTTGATAGGCCTGTGAGGCATCGAGGTAGGGGTGCACAGGAGGGTGGTGGGTGAGTGAGCCTGGATCTGGGGGAGAAATCTGAGCTGGAGAGCTGCGATACTGGGGAGTGGTCAGGGTACATGCCTTTAACCCCAGAGGGCCTGGCTGAGTTCCCTGGGAGTAAGTATTGATTGGGAAGACTGAGGTCTTCGGACAGGGCCCTGGAGCAGCGCCTGGGCCAGGCCAGCAAAGGAGATGAGAAAGTGTGGCTGATTTTGCAGGAAGGGAACCGAGGCTGTGACCCACAGGTCAAGGGAGGAAGGTGCTTCAGGGAGAGGGGCTCACAGTAGGCAGCACAACGGCCCCCCCACCTGCTGACCCCTGGAGCCTGGGAACCTGTCACATCACAGGGCAAAGGGAGACAGACGTTGCAGATGGAGGTTGCTAATCAGCTGACCTTATCACAGGGAGCTCTCCTGGGTTATCCTGGTGGTCCCAGTGTAATCCCAAGGGTCCTTACAAGTGGAAGAGGGAGGCAGGAGAGAGTCAGGAAGAGATGTGAGATTAGAAGGTCAGAGGGATCCAATGTGAGGCCTCAACCTGCTCCTGCTGGCTTTGAAGATAGAGGAAGGGCCATGAGTTAGGAGTGTGGGCTGCCTCTAAGGCTGGAAGAGGCTCTCCCAGAATGCAGCCCTGCAGACACTTTGATTTTAACACAGTGAGAGCCACGTTGGACTCATGACTTCCAGAACAGTACAGTAATAAACGTGTGTTGGTTTTAAGCCACTCGGTCTGCAGTGGTTTGTTACAGCAGCCGTGGGATGCTAATACACTCACACATCCAGGGCTGCTGGTGGTGAGTCGCGTGCAGTAAGAGTGGAGACCTGGCTGTGACATGAGGCCTTGTAGACGTTATGGTGACCTTGTCAGGAGCTGTGTCACCCTGGAGAGAGGGATCACCAGGAGGGGAAGGCTGGACATTGGAGGATGATATTGACTGGCGGCTGGCATGGTCTCTGTGGGAGCAGGCGGCTCATGGTGGCCAAGGGGCCCCGGGAGAGGCACCCTCAAGCTAGTGACCGCTAGGAACCTGTGAGACCTCAGGGAGCCAAAGCCAAGTGTCCCTGGCACTAGGGCCCCCAGGGGGCTCCCTGGGAACCTGGGATCCTGCCTCTCCCCCTCGAGTAGAATCTTCTGTCGGGAAGGAAGCCTTTGCCCCTCTGGGGGTCAGGGCAGCGTCTGCTTTGCTCACCACGTGGTGCCTAGCACAGAGCCTTCCGTGCGTAAAATGCTGGGAGGAAAAATGGATGGAAAGTTTCAGGGGCAGGGGCGGCACAGGTGGATGGTTGTGTGGGGGCTGGGTGCAGCATGGCGCTGCCCGTTCACCCCAGAGACCTCACAAATGAATTGTAGGTGTGTTTTTTTTTGTTGTTAACAGATTTCAGTTTTTAGAACAGTTTTAGATATTAGAAAAATTGTACACGTGGTACAGAAAATTCATATGTATCCCCTCCAGTGCACACAGTTTCCTCTATTATTAACATCTTACATTAGTAAAGTACATTTATTGCAGTTAATGGTCTAACTGATTGATATAATTGATATATTACTGTGAAAGTCCATAGTTTTTTTGGATTTCCTTAGTTTTTTTTTTGCCCAACGTCCTGCACTGTCCCAGGGTCCCATCCAGGACACACATCCCATGTAGGCACCTCTCGGCCGGGACAGTTTCTCAGACTTTCTTGTTTTGATGACCTTGGCAGTCTGGAGGAGGACTGGTCAGGGATTCTGTAGGGTGCCGTCTGCTGGGATTCGTCTGAGTACCTGCTAGCAACCTGATTCATTACTGTTGGTGTTGACCTTAAACTCTTGACTGGACTAGCGTTTCTCCACCATGAAACCAGCCTGCACTGTACTTGTTAGAAGGAGGTCACTGTGTTAGAAGGAGCAGCCTGGATGGATGTTCTTAAGATTTTTTTCCTGCCAGATGGCAGCAAAAACATATTCCATCCACATCAGTGTCTGACACGCGGCATTCTTCTTCTAAAGAGGCACCTCTTTCCACTTTGTGGAAGACTATAGACTAGTGGTTGTCCTGGCCACACACACCTGTTCCAGAAGGACTTGGGGACAACGTTTGCACTGGGCATGAGGGACCTGGGAGACCCCAAAGGAACAGGCATGGCTCCCATTGTTACCCCAAAAGAGGAAGGAAAAAGACCTCAGTTTTTGTCTTACCTGAAAGAGAAGAATTCAGACGGGAGCAAAAGATTTTAAAGGTTGTCTTAGCAAAGGATGAGTACGCCTCCAAGAACGGGGTGCGGGCTGATCCAGGGGCCGACAGCGGTGGTCTTTGTTTGGCCCCCTGTCTTGTACCCTCACTTAGAGGTGGTCTCTTGGTTGATTGGCAGCTCTTGCCCCTGGAGTGCTGGGTCATGCTCATCCCATTTGGTGCATGTCCTTACCCATGATGCACATAGGAAAGCCCACAAGGGGGCCTAAACCGCCATGCTAATTACATTACAGTGAGCATTAGGTCATGTCCGGTTAGGTCCTCAACGCTGCTGCACGGTGGGGGCTTTCGGGTTCTAACCGGTTTCTTGCTGACACTCATTTAGTGGAAGTAAAAGTTCCTTTATGCTGAAGGTAGGCATACTGCCATCCTCCAGACCATCCTCCCTGACCTGCACCTGTCTGCCCGGTGCCCCCACTTACCTAACTACCTGACGCCATCACTTAGTCTTTGTTATTATTGTTGTTGCAATGATGCATGGGTGTGATTCTCCTCCTGCCAGAAATGAAGCAATACAGGTGGCCTGCAGGCAAGGGAGTCTCTAGCCGCTGTCTGCTCACACCCTCGTTCCCCAAGGTCCCCAAGGCTAACACTTCAGCATACGCCTTGCTAGGCTTTTAAAAATAATAGTTATGATATACGATATTATATTTTATACTGTTAAATATGTAATTATTTATTAAATGTATAAATAATTAGTATTAAATATGTTATTAAATATCTATATACATCTTCCAAATTATTAAATACATAAACACGTAAGTATAGATATAATAAAGTAACTATAAACAAATGTAATTTATATGAAAAGTACTTGAGATAAATACATAATATATAATTGTAAATGTATGCTAATATATTCAACGTATAAAAATGCCATTTTTCTTAAACAGCATCATATTAGTCATAATTTTTTGACCTACTGACTTCACTTGACATGTTAAGAGTTTCTTCTACGTAAACATAGATCTGCCACATTTGTTTATTTGCTTATTCATATTTGTAAGTGTGGTAAAATACACATCACAAAATTGACCATGGTAACCGTTTTTAGGCGTGTAGTTCAGCACTGGTAAATACATTCACACTCCTGCACTCGCATCTCCAGAGCTCTTTTCATCTTGTGAAACTGAAGCTCTGTCCCCCTTAATCAACAGTCCCTCATCCCCCCTCCCCCAGTCCCTGACAGCCGCCATCCTATCTCTGTCTCTGAATTTGACAGACCTCCCGCAAGCGGAGTCATACACTCTGTCTTTTTGTGACTGGCTTATTTCACTTGGCCTGGTGTCCTCAGCTTTCGTCCTTGCTACAGCAGGTGACAGGATTTCCTTCCTTTTTAAGGCTGAATCATAGTCCCTTGTATGCCTGGACCACTTTTGCTTATCCATCTATCCTAGGTTGCTTCCACCTTTTGTCTTTTGTGAATAATGCTGCTGTGAACATGAGTGTACAAATATCTGTTTGTGGCCCTGCTTTCAGTCCTTTTGGGTAAGCCCCTACGTGCTGTAAGGAATAATCATGTAGCTTAAATGGGGTGTTTTGATGATCAGTCAGTTGTGGAGACAGAGTAACACCCCAAAGAGGCACACGAAAGTGGAAGATTGATGACACTCACCATGTCTAAGGCATACTACACCCAGGGCTAGGGTGGGGCTGGGGGTTGCTCAGCCAGGCAGGTGGGGAGCGGAGCCAGCCGGAGGACCTGTGGGCCGGCGCCTTTATCAGGGGTCAGGGGAGTGTGCAAGCAAAGGGCGGGAGGGTTTTTCCCTGGTGCCTTTGTCACTAGATCACAGTCAGGAGGGTAGGAAGGGGAGCTTGTGGCCGGACCCGCCCTCTCACCCTGGTGCTGCTGGGCATCTGGGAGGGGGCTCATGATCTGATCGTTGGGGTGTCAGGGCAGCAGGAAAAGGTGAACTTGTGTTTATTTATTTATCTATTTATTTATTACTATGATTACACATATTATGTATTATTTTTATTTTACTATGTATTGATACATTAGTAATTACTTCTTATTTCTTATGTAATATGTTATTACATTGTTTTAATTTTATTTTTATTGTTATTTATGTCATGTCTTATATATTTTATATTATATTATTTATATAATATAATATGCAATATTTTATTGTTATTAATATTATAAATATTATGTATCATTAAATTATTTTATTTAATTATTTATTTATATACTTATTTATTCAAAGTTTTAAAAAAGTGCAGTACACCCTGGAAGGGGACTTGCTGGATCATACCACTT